TCCCGTCGTATTGACTATTGTTATATGAAAGGATAATATTTTTCAAACTTCAAAATGTATCTAGTTTCTATTCTAAATTTCGTATCTTTTTTTTTTTTAAGGATTTCTTCCTTCCTTCCTTTCTTTTTTTGAGGAAGATTAGCCTTGAGCTAACATCTGCTGCCAATCCTCCTCTTTTTGCTGAGGAAGACTGGCCCTGAGCTAACATCGGTGCCCATCTTCTTCTACTTTATATGTGGGACACCTACACAGCATGGTGTGCCAAGTGGTGCCATGTCCGCACCTGGGATCCGAACTGGCAGACCCTGGGCCACCGAAGCGGAACGTGCACACTTAACTGCTGCACCACTGGGCCGGTCCCTAACTTTTGTATTTTTATTCTTGTTTTGTGATCTATGTTTATTATTCTGCTATTGGTTTCATTTTTTTCCTCTCTCAAAGGGAATCATAACCTTATTTCATTTTATTTTATTTACTTTTATTTTGAGGAAGATTAGCTCTGAGCTAACATCTGCTGCCAATCTTCCTCTGTTTGCTGAGGAAGACTGGCCCTGAGCTCACATCCGTGCCCACCTTCCTCTGCTTTATACGTGGGATGCCTACCACAGCATGGCTTGCCAAGCAGCGCCATGTCCGCACCGGGATCCGAACCAGCGAACCCTGGGCCACCGAAGTGGAATGTGCGCACTTAACTGCTGCGCCCTGGGCTGGCCCCCTATTTATTTCTTAAGAGATACAATACTAACACTGAGAAATAAGAAGGGTACAATTATGTTACAATATTCTTGACAAAAAAGTAGTCAATGGAAATATTATAATACTATGTTAGGTGGAAAAAAGTGAAAATATAGAGTATGATGCCACTTTTGTTTAAAAATCTTTCTATACTTTTATGAATAGAATAAAACTCTGAAAAGATGTATACCAAAATAGTAACAATTGTTAAGGTGTAGTCTGCAAGTTCTGTGTAAGATCCCACCACTTCCCCAAAATGGCTCAGAGAATGAACTAGAGTTATAAACAGCTTATTCAGGAAGCTATTTCCAACTGAGGTTAAAATTCTATTCTCTGAGTTAACATTGTCTTACTCACCTATACGCATGCCACCTTCTGGAAACAAGGAGCATTTCACCATTTAAAGACTAACAATAGAACTTTGTGATAAGGCTGAAATTGGAATTGTTTATAGAAAACATTTTTTAAATTTAACATTTAATTTTGAAACTTGTGGATCACAATCAAATTTGTTAGACCAAAAGAGGGCTGATTTAATATCAGAGATGGCAAGTCATATACTTGTCCTCAATAAATTGGCCATGGAAAAAACTATTTTTAAAATAGTGAAAAGCTATCCAAAAGTAAGCCTTAAGGAAATGGAAAAACAAATAAAAGAAATCCAACAACTTAGAATGCTCAAAAAATGATGAACAATTTCATTCCTGTTTGTTTTCCCTCTAAAGCAGAGTTAACATGAAATGCTGAAATAATGTATTTATTTTAAAGCAATGTCTATATCTAGAAACATGAACTCAACTGGATCTATGAATCACTATTGATATGTCTAAAAAAGTACCCAAGAAAAATAATAAGGCTGCAGATTGACATTTACAGTGTGATAATGTACCCATGCATACCAAAACATAAAGTAACAGGGTACCTAGAAATGTATGTAGAAACATAAAAAGGCCTGCAAGGGTAGCTAGACGGATCACCTTTGGGGAAGCAGAAGAGAGGACCAACGTTGGACAGTAGTCAAGGGAACTTTATCTTGACTATTTTTTTTTTTTTTTGAGGAAGATTAGCCCTGAGCTAATATTCGCCACCAATCCTTGTTTTTTGCTGAGGAAGATTGGCCCTGAGCTAACATCCGTGCCCATCTTCCTCTGTTTTATATGTGGGATGACTGCCACAGAATGGCTTGAAAAGCAGTGTGTAGGTCTGCACCCGGGATCTGAACCAGCGAACCCTGGGCTGGTGAAGCAGAGCATGCGAATTTAACTGCTATGCCACTGGGTTGGCCCCTTGACTATTTTTTTTTTTTTTGAGGAATTTTAGCCCTGAGCTAACTGCTGCCAATCCTCCTCTTTTTGCTGAGGAAGCCCGGCCCTGAGCTAACATCCGTGCCCATCTTCCTCTACTTTATATGTGGGATGCCTATCACAGCATGGCGTGCCAAGCGGTGTCATGTCGGCACCTGGGATCCGAACGGGCTAACCCAGGCAGCCAAAGCAGAACTTGCGAACTTAACTGCTGTGCCACGGGGCCGGCCCCGTTGACTATTTTTTAAAAAAGAGAATGAACTTAAAACTTGTGTAATTTACCACAAATTAGAAAGGCAAAAGTATTTTTATAGAAATTTACTTTTGTAGAAATACAAAAGTAAAATGAACTATAGCTTGCAAATAAAACAACAACAAAGACCTGCTATATAGTTGCAATTATCAGTGTCTTGTGATACAGCAGATGCAATGTATATTTCTTATAAACAATAGTGGCAAGGAACCCTATAGTCTGTTTATCTGTGTTGTAATCCTATGTGTGTGTGTGTTTGCCAAACACAGAATAAAATATCTAGGAAGTGCACAGCCCTGCTTTGTAAACTGCTTTCTTTCTTTTTTTTTGAGGAAGATTAGCCCTGAGCTAACTGCTGCCAATCCTCCTCTTTTTGCTGAGGAAGGCTGGCCCTGAACTAACATCCATGCCCACATTCCTCCACTTTATATGTAGGATGCCTGCCACAGCATGGCTTGACAAGCGGTGCATAGGTTCCCACCTGGGATCCAAACCAGTGAACCCGGGCTGCTGATCGGAACGTGCAAACTTAACCACTGTGCCACCGGGCCAGCCCCTGTAAACTGCTTTCAATTAGAGTCTCCTCGTGGATAGCCCAGCTTCAGCCTCAGTTAATTCTCTCGCATTAATAATTTAAAAATATTAATGCTTGTGACCTACAGGAATGAGGTCCCATGGTAGATGTAAAGACTCTTTCTAGAGAAGCTAATTTGGAATGATCCAGCCAAAGGCCTATCTCCAGGGACTTTTTGAGGCTTTACTAATTCCAAGTTTGCATCAATTCCTTTTCAACATAGAGTGCCTGCTATTTGTAAGGCTCAGTGTGGTCTAAAGCAGGGAGGCTTGACCTTAGAAGGTGAAACAAGTTGGGTAGGTGGCAATATTAGGAGTCAGCTCTGTAGTATTTGAGGGGCTGTGCCCAGGAATCAGTCTCATTTGGGTTTCAATTCCCATTGCACCATTCACTAGCTGTGTAATCCTGTGCAAACCATGGGGATATATAATGCCTACTTTATAGAGCTGTCAGGAGGGGAAAAGGAGATCATTATAAAGGATTTGGTGCAGTGCTGGCACATAATAAGTACTCAGTTAATCCCTCTGCTACCCAAGGACTGGATGAATGTGTAAAGAATACTCTTCACGGAGTCGGCCAGTGGCACAGCAGTGAAGTTCGCACGTTCCGCTTCAGTGGCCCAGGGTTCGTCGGTTCAGATCCCAGGTGCGGACATGGCACTGATTGGCAACTCATGCTGTGGTAGGCATCCCACATAGAAAGTAGAGGAAGATGGGCATGGATGTTAGCTCAGGGCCAGTCTTCCTCAGCCAAAAAGAGGAGGATTGGCAGCAGATGTTGGCTCAGGGCTAATCTTCCTCAAAAAAAAAAAAAGTACTCTTCAAATTGTTTTACACATAACCTCTTAATTTGTCTTTATCAAAACTCTTAGGTTTAAGCAGAGTGGTTTTTACTTTGACATTTTTATTTTATTTGCTCCTGTTCGTATGTTTTTCTGAGTCCTAATTAATTTTCAAGACTCATAAAAAATTGGAGGTTGAAAAGGTTTTTGAGGTTATCTGGTTCACTGTCCCAGGAGATGATTTTCACCCCCTTTCCGGTGAGATTTTAAAACCAGGAAGTAAATACTATTTCTTGGGCTATTCTAGTTACTGGTGAAATAACAGGAAGTAAAGTGAGAGGGAAGGAAGGCCAAGGGAATATGTATGGGATGAGGGAGACTGGTGAGAGACGCAGTGGGAAAGTATGAGGAGCACACACTAAGGAGGGGAAATGCAAGGAAGAGAAGGAAAAGAGACAAAAAAAAAAAAAAGAAAGAAAGAAAGAAAGAAAAAGGACCTTGAACAAGTGCAAGAAGAGTGAGAAAAGGGAAAGAGGGGAAAGTAGAGAGGGACCCCAATTGGTCACTGGAGGCACCAACAGGAGTTTGAGTCACACGTTCTGGGTTCTGATAATTGTAAAATGCACGAGTATAGGACATATTGCTTAAGCCCTCCGACTCACGTTCTTTGGAGTTTATAGTGCAGATTAAATGAGATTAGCGGGATGGACGCTCTGTAAACAAGAGAACTCTATTCAAATAATTAGGAAGGGGAGAGAAAGTGGCAGAAAAACAGAGGGAGGGGGATGAAGAGGGGGAGTGGGGGGAAAGGGATGGGAGAGAAATCGGGGGAGAAAGGCAGAGAGGGAGAAAGGGAAATTGTTGAAAATGCAGGCGAGAACTAAGGAAACCGCAGCAACGATGCTCCTGTGGCTTCTGTGGCGACTGCTCCAGCACATCTAGCGTTGACAACTTGCCAGATACGTTGTTAGAGCTTTACATGCATAATTTCATGTTTTCCGCTCAACATCTCTACGGGGCTAGGCTCTAGTATTATTCTCACTTTATAGAAGAGATATCTGAAGCATAGAGAGGTTTTGTAACTTTCCCAAGGCAGCTGAGAAGTGGCCAAGAAGGGATCAAACGCAGGTCTATCTGCAAAGCCAATGCTTGTTAAAACCATCTCTAAGAACCTTGAAAGAGGCTTGGTGGGTCTAAGCTGGGCTCTTGTCCGGGTGCTTCCAAATTATGCCCTCTTCAATTTCAGCGCACCAAGCCTTACTCGCCACGCCCTTTCTCCATCTCGCCACTAACAGCGTCCCGTCTCCTTGGAGATCGGCGTGGGGCGGGACTTCCTCTCTCACGCAGGAGCAATTCCGTCTTGAGCCGGAAGCGCCGAGACTAACAGTGCGGCTACCAGCGCGTGGGGAGCTCTTGGAGGGTTTGAGTGGCGGGTCTGCCGCGGCAGTGAGAGTGACAGACCTGGGCACCTGAGTCTGGCGCGGCGATGCTGACCCCGGCGTTCGACCTCAGCCAGGACCCCGACTTCCTGACTGTCGCCATCCGCGTGCCCTACGCCCGGGTCTCCGAGTTCGACGTCTACTTCGAGGGGGTCGACTTCAAGTTCTACGCCAAACCGTACTTTCTCAGGCGAGTTCCCGGTGTCTAGCCGAGGGAAGAACGTCTTTTGGGGATTCATTCATTCATTCATTAGATACCTGCTTATCGAGGGAGGATGACAAAGCGAGGGGCATGTCTAGATTTCACGACTGCCTTTTCCCAAGATCTTTCGGTGCTGAGGAAGTGCCCTCTCCCAGGCGTGCGCTCCAGATGCTGCACAAGTTCATTCCCTTCTTAAATCCCCACGTTAAAGAGATTTCGGAGCCTCTTGCAAACCATGTCATCTTCCTTTTTTGTTCTTTCTTTTCCTTGCCTCGGGACAGCGCGCGCTACCCGGTCCATTTGACTTTTCTCAGTCCACGTTCTGTTTATCGACCTGTTGGCTGACCGCTACCCGGTGAAATTCTCGCCTTCCTTGCCCGCTTGACACCAAAGTAGCCTCGTTCTCCTACCTCCTCGTCGTCTGCTACTTCTCTGTTTGATTTTGCCCCTTAATTGTGGTTGTCGTCCCCCACGTCTCAGTGAGGGGCCTTCAGCACTTGTCTGCCTGCGTTTTCTCCCTGCAGAACCTTAAGAACAGTGGTAACAGGTAACAGTTACTTCTCACCTTCCAGGTGGGGAGCAAACAATGCATTAAGTGCTTTATGTGTATTATCTCATTTAATCTTGACAGTGATCCTTGGAGGTAGGCATTATCATTAGCCCCACAATTCGTCCTAAACATTGTCAGTCCCTTGGCCCCTCCCCTTTCCTAAGAGGGAAAATCCATTCTCCTAATCTTTCCCATTCAAATGTAGCTCCAGCCTACCTTTCCTGCCTGGTATTTTCCTGATACAAACCTTCCTCTTAAGTCAAGCTGATTCCTTCACTGGGCCTGAACTAGTTTCGCTCATATTTCTATTAGGACTAACTTAATTCACCTACTTGAATATACTGCACTTCGCTGTTTCCTTACTCATTTATTCGTTTGATTTGTTTATCAAGGTAATGGTATACACCAGGCTCTGTTGTTGTTACTGGGGCTGTAATGGTGCCTCATGTAGTTTACATTTTAGTGGGGAGAGAAAAATAATAAACAAATACACATATAACTACAAATTGTGGTAAGTGCTCTAAAAGGAAATAAAGTCTGCTGATAGAGAATAAGAGAGCCTGTGTTAATCTAAAATGGCCAGGGAAAGCCTTTCTGAAGAGGTCATATTTAAGTCAAGACATGAAGAATGGGAAGATGATGATGGTGGGAGCAAACACTGACTTTTTACTCCAGCTTAGTGCTTCATGTGGATTATCTCATTTGATTTTAGCAAATCCTACAAAGTATGTTCTGTTATTTACTCATGTTACAGATAATGGATCAGAGGCTCAGAGAAAACTTGTTAAATGAGACAGCATTGTAAGATAAAATAAATACAATAAAATTAAAATTTCAAAGTAAAAACCACTGTGCATAAGTCTGGGAGTGTTGATGAAGGCAGAATCCGAGGTTATGTGTGAAAGAATTTAAAGAGTTCTCTTCACTCAGGTTCATCCATTCCTTGGGTAGCAGAGGCTTGGGAGCTGGGCACACCTGGGTCTCTGCACACTTACAGTTCTGTGACTTTGGGCAAGTTGTTCAGTCTCAGTTTCCTAGTCTGTAAAGTGGGACTAATGTTAGTGATTTTAAAGAGTTGATGTGAGGATTGAGATGATGCATGCGTAGTCCTTATTACCATGCCTGGTAATTAACCATGTGTTCAATAAACAGTAGGTGTTAATATTTGTTAAGGGCCTGCTGTTCCCGTTGTCTGTTGCTGCAAAAACAATCAAACTTAATGGTGTAAACTCACAATCATTGAACTCCCTATCCTGGTTTCTACATGTCAGGAGTTTGGAAAGGGCTTGGCTGGGCTTGACGTCTTTCATTCAGTTGTGATCACGTGATGGCTGGACCTGGAACAACAAGGGCCTAAGCAGCTGGGGCTGGTGGGGTGAGAGGCGGAGGGCACCTCTCTTTGTGTAGTTTCAGGACCTCCCTGTGTGGTCTTTGTGTGGTCTAGTTTTGATTCCTTTGGGGAGTCGGACCACTAACGGGGTAGCTTGAAGATTTCAAGAGGGAGTATTCCCAGTGAGCAAGGCAGAATCCATGTCACCTGTATATGACCTAACCTCAGAAATCACAGTGTCACTTCTGCTTTATTGTGTTGGTTAAAACAGTTCAGTTCTTAATTCAGTTTTAAGCGGAGGGGACATAGACCCCACTGTTGGGAGGAGTCATGTGAGATGGGTCATGTTTGAAAATGCAGTTTGCTTCAGTACATCAAAGACTGATAAAGCCTCGCCCCTCCTTGAGCAACTGAGAGTCCAGCAGGGGAGCAACAAATATGACTTCACTGTTGCACAGTAAGAATTGAGCTCTGTACTTATAAAGAGTTTAGGAGAAGGGAGTTGATACAACAGCTTACATCTTCTGAGTGCTTACCAATACTGTACCAGCCACTGAGCTCTTTGTATTATCATTTCCTTCTCACAGTAACCCTGGGATAGATCCTGTTATTTTTCCCTTTTTACAGATGAGGAATCTGAGCCTTGAAGTTAATTAACTTGTACAAGGAAAGTTACAAAGCTGGTAAATGGCAGAGCCATGTAATCAGTTCAGATCCTGATAGTAAAGTTAGTGTTTATAACCATTATAATAAGCTTGATTTATCCATAAACTGACTCTTTATACTGGGCCCAGAAGGGATCTTGGTTTGGAAAATGCATTGTAGCTCCAGGAAACATTGGGATCCAAGGTGACTAGGGTGTGAAGCCCTGGGCCTTTTGGGGTCTGCCAAATTTATCATTGTTATTATTATTATTACTGTTAGAGTAGGAAGCAAGGGAGAGGGGATTATGAGAGGAAATGAGACTCATGAGGCTCAGATTGTAAGTCTGGAACGGAATGGTGCTGGCCTGATGTGCCACACTGATGAATTTAAATTATCTAGTCGGTGTCGGGCAGCCATAGAAGCTTTTTCAAATGGAAAAGTGGTAGACTTCAGTTTTAGAAAGTTCTTTTGGGGCCTCAGTGGAAGGCTGACCGAACCCAGGGTAAAGCTGGAAACAGGGAAATCAGTTCATTTCCTTTAGGCTGAAAGAGGGGAAATCCCCATATAGTAATAATGAGATTTGAGAAAAACACTTTTGCTTTCTACTATTTTTTAAGTATTAATTTGTCCAATATAAACAATTGGTTTTGTTTTTTTATTGTTTTCCAGTTTTTGTTTGTTTGTTTCTTTTTTTTTTGGAAGCCAATTAGTCTACCTTTATTGAGCTCCTGCTGCATCAGGCATCAGGTCTATGAATGACCCTCATTCGTTAGGAAGGGGAAAGTACTATAACACGTGATAACTAATAGTTGCTGTGGCTTTTCTTTTTAAGTCTCTGTTTTATTGGTGACTGGGGGTATTCAAACAGAAAGATGAGTCATCTCTGATTTCTTTCTTCTTAGCTGGGGAAGAAATCTACTTGTTTAGTTTATAAAGTGCTAAAGAAATGCTCAGGGATTTCCATTTAAAATGGTTGATAGATTTCAATGGTAAATGTTGACCTCCTTGATAATTACTTATGCTCCTTTGTAATTAAGGACTTCATGAGACCTTATATTAAATCTGCAGATTAACCCTTCCTGGAAGAATTGTAGAAAATGGAAGTGAGCAGGGGTCCTATGATGCTGATAAAGGTATTGCCTTTGGGATTTTTGTTAGTTTTTTCTTTGGATTCTTCCTGTTGGACTAACTACAGAAACATCCTTCAGGATGCCACGGTGACCTGTAGATGTTTTGCTAGTGCAATCTGTCTCTGTCAGTCTTTATTGTTTCTTAATGTCCACTGCCTGTTATTGATAGATTTAGTAACCATTACAGTTTCTAAAAATTCTTTAAAATGTTTCACAGTATTCTTCAGAGTAAAGTTAAATTAGTTAAATACCGTGGTTCTATTTTCTAGTAGTTTTGTTTCCTGCTTCCCCTACATTTAGTAAGTGTTTAAAAGTAAAAAAAAATGTGTAAGACGATAAAAGATGTGGATGATTTTAGCTGTGAATCAAATCTTTCTTGTACAGTTTTCATACTTAAAATTTAATAACATGTAGGTGAGAGAGAAACTGTCCATAGGTGACATTTGAAGGCTGGTTGAATTTTCTTCTCATGATTAATAAGCCCTTCATTTCAGCTACCCATGAAACCATTTATTTCCCCTTCATAGAAGCCACTGGGTTTCCCTTTGTCACTGGATCTGGAATAAGAATACTTTGTGTACTTTTGTGTAATTTATTCAGTGAATATTTATTGATCTTAGTGAACTAGCGTAAGGGAGGAAAAATGGGATGAAAGAGTTAAATGACAGAGTTTTAACCTATAACACAATATATTTAATGTGATAATGAAGTGTAATGAAACTGCCTTCCTAGATAGTAAATCTTCTTTTAATTGCAGATAAGTTGCATGTTGAAACAAAGTTATTAAACTTTAAAAGTACACGGGGGTTTAGGAAGGTTGTATATATGGAGATAGTTGGCTTGAGATGTATTTTATGTATTAGAATACAGTTCAGTACACTAAAGTGTTCTAAAACGTGAGAGGAGTAAGTAATGTACTAAGTTCATAGGAGAGCCTGGATGAAGTGGGTAAACCCACTGAAGGAAAGAAATACAGAGGTGGAATTTGAGTCCGCCTGAGACTTTACAATATATCTCTTGAGATATCAAAGAATTTTATTAAGCTGTAATTGCTTTAATTAAGACTTGGTGTATTTTTGAAGCTACTGCTATTCTCCATTGGATTAGATATCCTGATTTTCCCCCACCTAGTCCAAAAATAAATTTTATAAGTAGCTACTGGTTAACTAAGTTATGACCTTCTCAGGCCATTGAGTTTTAGAAATTTTGACTTGGACTTTTAATAGGATCAATAGGTGCAGGTGATACTGCGTAAGACTAAAGCATTCTGCAGTTTTAACGGATTAATTTCTTAGAGAGGTGACAGCTGAATCAGTGGAGCTCTAGGAAATAGAATTATATTTTACCAAAATATATATATTTCTTAGATATATTTGTGAAGTCTTCAAATATTTTCATCTAAGCATAAAATAAATTTATCTTTAAGGTATTTTTACCATTCGATTGCCCAAAGAAACTCCTGGCCAGCATTTTGAGGGGCTGAACATGTTAACTGCTCTTCTGGCGCCAAGAAAATCCAGGACTGCAAAACCACTTGTGGAAGAAATAGGTATGTGTCTTAGAATTGGGAGGAAATAAAGATGGAATATCTGGATTGCTGTGTGTTTCTAGGGGAAAGGACATAAAGCAAATAGGAGAAAATACTTCAGATGACAAGATAAGGAGGTCATGTAAAAACATGTGAAAATAGCTTATTTGGTGACATGTAATTTAAAGACATAAAGAACTCTATTGAACCAGTGGGTCAGTCTCTTTTTTGGACCAACTGAAACAGCATCTCTGTTTTTGGCAAAATATTGGCCTCTTGAGCTAACATCAGACATGTACAGTTCAATAAGTTACATAAAGTGACCGCCACCTAGGTCAAGAAGTGGAGCATTTCCAGTACCCTGCGGTGCTGCTCTGTCTCCTCCTGCTTACTTCTCCCCTCCTCCTCTCCAGGGTAACACTTCCCTCAGTTTTGCCTCTTTTCGAACTGTATATATAATTCGTACAGTTGTGTTCTTTTTTGTCTGGCTTCTTTCACCTAACATTTTTGTGAGATTTATCCATATATAGCTGAGGTCCGTTTGCTTTCATTGCACTTATTTATACATCCTACTATTGACGGACCTTTGGGTTGGTTCCATTTTTGGCTATTAAGACTAGCAGGGCTGTGCATATTCTTATGGCTGTCTTTGGTGCACGTGAGCAGGCGTTTTTCCCTATACTTTTTCTTCCCCAGGTTGTACCTAGGAAATCCAATATTTCAGCAAATTAATATTTAACACATTTAGGTGCTTCTGAGGTTCCTGAGGAGGGAGTAGAAGATGACGAGGACGAGTTTGACTGGGAAATTGAGCAGGTCCCCTATGAAGAGGCGTCCGAAAGAGCTTTGAACCCACAGTGCCACTATGGATTTGGGAATTTGCGGTCAGGAGTGTTTCAGCGGTTACAGGTATGCTCTCTCGAAAAGACCGTGCTATAGGGTGCTACCGTCTGGATGCCTTAACTTCAGTTCTGCTCATACTTGGAGGTTTTTGTGAAGACGGTAGCCGGTGACGTATTTGGAGCACAAAGCGCAGCCCCTTGCATGGAGCCGTTACACAGATGTTCGCTCTGTTCCATGGTGTTGGCTGTTCTGCCCGCTCTTACTGTGCTTATGGTTGTAAGATGTCTTGTCACTTTCTTTTTTTCTCCACTTTGTTCAGTATTCTAGACATGAGGTTTCAATAGTACAAAATGGAGCCTCTTTCTCCTCTTACTTCCTGGAAAGCTTTATGTTTTATACTTCTGAAAAATGAAAGTCATGTACTTATGGCGTGATGTCTCTTCTGTTTTCTATCTATTAATGAGACAGAATGTTCCCGATGAGAATGAGTTTGTGTCTTTTGACCAAGTTGTTTTTTTCTTGGTGTACAGTAGGCACTTTTCTCTCTTTTCTCTTCCTCAGGGTTGAATGTAACCTCTTGTTAAAACGCGTTCATTTGTCCATTAGGCTAAAAAGGAATGACATCACTCTTTCTCAAACAATGTAAGAAATTCTACTTTATTTTAGGCTATATAGGGAGATTGAAATGAATGAAATGGAGAAGAGAGATTTTGGGTTATTTTGTACTTACGTTGTTTTATAGGAAATGCATCCCTGGAATGTTAAATGATGAAAGGGTTTGTGAACCACTAACTTGAGGTCTTAATGTTTTTTTTTAAATGAAACAGCAATGAGTGGTTTTTATTTTTGCTTCATTCCCGTCTGGGTAGAGGACGTTAAACCCATTCAGAATGTGGTTTATTATAGTAAGACATACTGGAATCTTCTAAGGAAAGGTAAAGGACCTAAGTTTTAGTCCTACTCTACCTCTGTTTGGATTTGGGATGCAAGGCCAATTATTTGACCACAAACCAGTTTTGTCTCCTTTTTGTAAAATAGGGATAAATTTGCTCACCTTCTTTATAAGGCCATCAAGAAAATTTAAGGAGATGCTACGTTATGAAAACTCTTTGAAAAAGAATAAGATGCTAGAAAGACCTCTGCCCTTAAATATGTAGAATGCCCTCGAGACTCCTTAAAGGGAGGAAAATTGGGATTTACTTAAGAGCACATAACGCTGATGAGATCCTTCCTTCAAACCTTATATGCTTCTCCGCTGAATTGTGGTCTCCGCGTGTTCTCTCTCCCTGCCCACATTCTCTGCTCATCTCTGAGGCGGTGAGAACAGAGTCAGTTTTGTCTACAGCAGAAGCTACAGTGAATGGAGCTCAGTAGTTTGGCCGAGAGCAGGTTGTGGTCAGTCTGTTTTGGGTTTGCCCGTCTCAAGCACTACATGAATGGTAGTAAGTACAGATTGTACATTCAGGGTGAAAGTGCCTCCTCAGGCCGGGGAACTTGGTTTCTTGGTTCCTGCTGCTGTTGAGGGAAGGTCCTTTCAAGGGGTTTCTGCCCGGTGTGAGAAGACGCAGGAATGCCATAACATGAGCCCGGGCCAAGTCCCTGTTAGGTCGGGAGTTCTTGTATCTATTGAAAATGTTCACTAAGTAAGTAACTTAGGTTGATTTAGGAAAGAGGTTATATTCTTTATATCTTTTCCAGTGTCTTAAGGAGTGTATCCAATCTCTAGATACGTATTACGCAGCTTAAAGAAGAAAACATTACCAGCATAGTTGGAGCCCTGTGTGTCCCTTCCTGAGGGCATCCCTCTATTTTCCCCTCGGAAATGAACCACTGAATTGAATATTTATTATGTATTTCTGAGCATTTAGCTTGATGCTAAAATCTAAAATCATTAAATTGTTCTTCAAATTTTGATTGAGTGAACATTGCTATTCTAAACAATTTGAATGCCTATTTTCCTCAATGTAGGAAAAAAAAGCTGTGCAAGTGAGGAAACTCTAAGGGGTAATGTCAATAGTAATACAATAGTAGTACAGGTTTATTAACCCATGTGTGCACTATTGGGATCACAGAGTTCTGAAACTAACAGCTTTTTAATGTTTAGCTTGGTGGCAAAGCTGATCTGATGTGAGTCTTTTAGTAGTTATTTTTTTTTTTATCCCACTTAGTGTGCATTTTCAGAAATTTTGCTGAAATAGTTACATATTTCAATATGGGGTGCTGCCCCAGACTTCTCATATGGGGTTAAATAAAATATGGTAGGTATGTGTACCATAGTACTTTTCTAAACTCTTCAAAGAGTCTGAATCCTGAAGCTCTCCCCTCTGCAGGGTATTTGGGTAACAGAATGGACCTCTAGTTTCTGGGCAGCAACTGCTAACAGCTATTGAGTGTGTCCCTGTGCCAGGCGCTGTGCTGGGCTCTTGTGTGTATCGGCTCCATATTAACCATTCCATCATGACATCATTGCTGGTAGATGTGCACATTTTACCAGTGGACAAACCAATGGACGTATATAGTCTTTAAAGATTATTGTGTTTTCTTACATGAATTAAATTTGAGGACTGTGGTGTCATTCGTGACAATTAGGAAATACCAGAACTTTCAAAAATCATATGTGAACCAAGGATGCCAAGAACTAAAGGACACTCTCTTTGGAGTATTAAGGTAGATGTGTTTTATGAGAGAGTGCCACAAAAATCTTACGTAATGCTATTACTTGCAGAGTTCTCTTGCATTTATAACTGCGCTATTTGTGACATTCATACGACGTGCTTAGAAACTGAGTGATCCTGTAGGATTAACAATATGACCCTTTTTCTACTAGTAAATCAGCCAAAAGAAACTGAAACGATTACTGCATAAATAAGAGCTTTAAGAAACTTCACCATTTTCTCAAATAATGTTTTCTCACAAGTTTAGAGTTTCTCTAGTTCTGCCTTTGGATGAGAAAATAGTCATAAAGTTTTGTTGACTACTCATATTTTACTAGTATTTTTACGGTCTCTTTTTTTCCCTCTTAAATGAAAAATAGCTTTATTTTCCCTTATGATGAAAGCAAAATATATTCGTTATAAAAATATAATATAACAAAGAAAGGAAAACATCATCCATAGTTCTAGTATCCAGATATCTTCTCTTAATTGAATGATTTAACCATTTGTGGGGGGGGGGGGGCTCTAGTCATTCATTTTTTCCCCCTTCCAAGCATTTACATAGGGTTTGCTTGTGAACTTCTGTACTTTATAATGAGAAGAAAATAAACATATTTTTTGTTGAAACAAATTCCCTTTCAATATCCCACACCCTATACACACACACACACACACACACACACACACACACGCACGCATGCACACACACACCCACCCATATCCCTTCTTTTTTTCCTTTCTGAAATTGCTGCCAGCCACCAGGGCACCTTTGGAAAACTGCCCTGGCTGCTCAAAGTCAGGGCTTCACAACAAGCTTCTGGCAGCGGCGGCTGCCAGCAGCAACAATCCTAGAGGCTGTGGGCGCCAACCCAGCAAGCTCCCGGGACCACTGCTGCCAGCAGCCGCAGGCCTCTGGCTTGCTGGCCTCTCCTTCCCTCAGCTGCACTGGGGACCTGAGGCTGTTGTTTCCAGGAGACCTGCTGGCCAGATGTGCACACAGTTCTTCGTTTTCCTTGGCTAGTCTCTGCCTTAACGCTGCCGAAATGTACATAAGCCTGATTTCAATCCTACAGGACCTTTTCTTGGCAATGCCCATCTTTAAATAGCTCTGATAACAGCGGCCTCGTAATGCTCTTTTTTAAAAAAGAGAATCACTTTTTTCCTGCTGTAGTGTAACATTTCTCATCCTCTTTTCTTCCTCCCCTTTGGTTGAATGATGCCTTAGACAAATTTCTCTACTTTGCTTTTTAGTTTGTTCCAGTTTCTCTTGAGGGTTCAGTTTGAACAGGGCCACTGTGTGTGATTGTGCCGAGGGCGAGCCTGTGTGGGGCTTGTACTGCTTTGCACAGTCACGTTCTGCGGGGTACAGACGCATAGCTGTATGTGGAGGCCTGAGTCTGGAGGCAAGGGGGCAGAGGAGAAGGGAGGATGACTGCCTTCCGACCATTTAGTTCTCGTTCCCATGAACGTGTCTTTGTGTTTATTGCTGGAGCTTCAGCACCCAGAACAGTGTCTAGCCCAGAGCAGGCCCTCAGGCACTACTCGCTGAATGAATGATTTAATACTGAACATGGGCACAGTGCTGGGGGTACAGTAAGGAAGAAGATGGTCTAGACCCCTGCCCTCATGGAATGTTCTAGTGGAGAGAGAGACAGTCATCATGTAAACCACAAACAAATAAGATAATTTCAGATAGTGACAAGTGAAGGAAAAGGATGGGGCGCTGTGAGAGACTGAAGGGTCCTCCTTTGGCTGGGATGCCCAGAGAAGGCCACTTTGAGGACGTGACATTTGCACCAAGTCCTGAAAGATGAGAAGGGTACTGTACATGAAAAGGCTCAGGCACAGTGGTTAAGTGCGCATGTTCCACTTCGGCGGTCCGGGGTTCGCCGGTTCAGATCCCAGATGCAGACCTACACACCCCTTATCAAGCCATGCTGTGGCAGGCGTCCCACATATAAAGTACAGGGAGATGGTCACGGATGTTAGCTCCGGGCCAGTCTTGCTCAGCAAAAAGAGGAGGATTGGCAGCAGATGTTAGCTCAGGACTGATCTTCCTCAAAAAAAAAAAAAAAGAAAAATTTAAAAGAAAAAGAAAAGGCTCAGAGTTCCAGAAATGGAATGAGGTCTTGTGTGTGGCTCGGGTGTATTTGAGCCAGAAGGGGCAGGTAGGAGGTGAGGTTGAAGCAGGAAATGGGCTAGATGGAGCTTTGAGCTGTGCAAGAGTCTGGGTTTCTTCTCAGTGTGGTTAGTGTTTTGAAATGCCTGTGGTTGCTTCAGTCCATTATCCTCTGAAATGTAGAATTATCTACCATGATTCACTGATTATATGACTTTATATCTGGTCCACATGAAATAATGAAGTGGGGCATTTTAATCCCTGTTGTTTTTTTTTTCCCCAGTTTTTTTTTTTTCTTATTGCTGCCAGCAAGTGAGGAAACTGAAGGGGAGGGATGATATGTATGCTCAGTAGGAAGTCAGCCTTTGAGGAACAGGGAACAGCAGTGGAATAGGGACAGAGAGAAAGGAAACCAACGTTATTGAATGTGTCAAGCCCTGTACTTGATGCCTTTACTTGTATTATTTCATTTAATCTTCACAACAGCCTGTAGTCGACGGAATGATGTGCCCCCGCAAGATGTCCACAGGCTAATCCCTGGAACATGTGAATATGTTACATTACATGGCAAAAGGGACTTGGCAGATGTGATGAAAGATCTCGTGCAGGGGCCATTATCCTGGCTTATCCAGATGGGCCCTGTCTAATCACCAGATCCTTATAAGAGGGAGGAAAGAGTGTCAAAGAGGAAAGGAGAAAGCCGTGCGATGATGGAGGCCCATGGGGGAGAGGCTTCGTGATGGGGCGGTGGGCCAAGGAGTGAGGACAGCCGGCTTCTAGGATAGAAAAGGCAAAGAAACAGAATCTCCCCAGAACCTCCGGAAAGGGACCAGCCCTGCCTTCACCTTCATTTTAGCCTGGTGAGACTGGCGTTGGACTTCTGACCTCCAGAGCTGTAAGAGAATAAATTTGTGTTGCGTGAAGCCACTGTTTATAGTAATTTATTATGGCAGCAAGAGAACTAATACCCAGCCCTATGATGGCATTGTCACTTGTTTTACAGTCAGGAGGCTGAGGGTGGTCAGAGAGGTTGTTCAAGTAGACTGGAGCTGGCTTTTAAGTTCAGGCTTGTCTAACTCCAAAGTCACGTTTTTTCTACTTCATCAGCGTGCTTTCAGAAGTGTGTGTGTGAGAGAGAGAAAGAGGGGGCGGGCAGGGAACTCCTTGGAGCTAGGAGGAGGAAAGAGGGTGTGTGCCTCAGGGTGCTGGGGAGAGGGACGTGGGGTCCAGGGGCAGGACACGGCTCTCCAGGCATCCATCTAGCTGAGGTCAGTCCTGCAGCTCCAGTACAGCTCCTCTCCTCCAGGGTCTGCATCAATGGCCTTGCTCAGCTCTGCGGCTGGAGCAGCTCATTTGAGGCAGGTGAGGAAGTGGGGAAGCGAGGAAGAGCCCAGGTTGCACTGCTGGGGAAAGAGATGCTTCTGGTGGAGTGAGCTGGAAGTCTGAAAGTATTTTCCCATGGAAACATTGCTGAGCGCTTGTTAAACTCTTTGTATGGAGAGTGTTCTATTTCAAGTTTATTGTCAAGTGGATAAACTTGTGGGTTGCCCCGAGAATCTAATTACTATTTATAATAGTATTTCTATAAGAAAATACATCTATGTCTCCCAAAAGTAAATTGTAAAAGAACTTTTGGAATGCAAAGTTTTATAAGTTTGGGGGCAGCCAGTCATCTGATTTTTGCCCAGAATGTTTGTACTTACAAGTATTAAGATGTTCTGGATATGACTTCCAGAAAGTTCCCTGGGCCCTTTCATTGTTTTAGAATGTGCTTAGATTCAATGTTGTTGATATTATTTGACCTAAACGGATTGTGGTAGGGGTGAAAGAATTTTTTCTTTTAATGCAGCAATTTTGATTGTGTGGGGAGGCTGTGTCGTCATCTCTTCCTGGCTAGTTCAGCCTCGCTCATTGCCTTGTAATGATTTTGCATTACAGCTGTCGACTTTAGGCCTGATTACTAGGCACTAACCTGTCTTTCCATTTACAAATTTTTAACAGTTTATGTCCACAACTCTCTGCCAAGTTCTTTCCCATGATTTCTTTTCAGCTAATATTCTTTAAGCTTCTTCCAGTTTCCATACTTCTCGCTTGGGGTTGGTAGTAGGAGTAGGGGGGAGGGGTTGAAGAAAGTGAAAAAGATATAGTTCTGGGAATATTTTGCACTGTAAAAGATTTCTTTGCTTCATAATTCCAATCAAGAGAAAAAAGACCATGTGGTATCCTAGGCAGTTTCCCTAAGATATCTGTTTTTTTGCAGGATTTGGCTTGGGAAACGTGCTACATATCAGTGTATATATATATCTAGGTGAAGATGATTATAGTGAAGTTGAATATTAATTAGGATTAGATTTTCAAATTTTCAAATGGAAAGGCATATACATCACAGTTGCCTTAAAAATTCAAAGATCTGCTCATAAAGTAGAATGTCCACAGTTTTGTGCATAAGTGTTGTATGGTCATCCTTATTTGAGACCAGCTGAGCTAGACCATAGGATGAAACAAAAGCACTGTGTGGATTTCTGATAGTCAAACCATTCACCTGTAAAAAATGATTAAAGAAGACAATTTAGGTGATACAAACAAACTTTATTTAACACTTGATGAAGTGGACAGTCTCCATTTGGAGAACTGCAGAATGGGGCAGAAGGCGGAAGCTTTTATAGGATGAGGAATAAAGAAAAACGAAGAGACAACTGGAAAATATCTGGCTGGGGCCGCTTAGTCAACCTTGTTTGGAGTGAGAAGGAACAAGGAAGTAAATGTGGAGCCCAGAGTTGACATTTGGGGCTTGGGGGTTGGCTGACTGGATAGCCTGCATTCCGGTCAAGCAGAGCATTCACAGCGAGACGGAAGTTATCTAAGTGTTGGCAGGAGCAGCTCCATCTTGGGTCCTGAAGTTTATTCCAACATACCTTTAATAACTTTCAAATCTCTAGCAGTAGATAGGGAGTGAGTAGAGAATTATATGTTTCTGTTTGCTTGCAGGGGTTTATTCTGGTTTTTTTTTATGTTAAACTTTTTATAGGCTTAGTATATGTTAATCAGTGTGTTGTAAGGATTAAATGGGAGAATTTATGTGAAAGGTTCCTGCAGGGCCTGGCAAGTAGTAGTTGTTTAACAAACACTTGCAGGCTCTGAATCTAAGTGTCACAGGTGGCACCATGGCTTACTGATCAACCAGATTCTTCCTGTGTGTCGGCATTTTGTGCAAAATTAGGTTTTTCAGTTCTAAAACAATTATTCTTTCTTTTCTGGGTGTCCTTAGGATGAACTGAGTGATGTTATTGATATTAAGGATCCAGATTTCACTCCTGCCACTGAACGAAGGCGGAAACGCCTGGCTGCTGAGCTGGCCAAATTTGATCCTGACCATTATCTGTGAGTACTGAGTTTTTTGAGGATTACATAGCTTACTTGACATTTATTTAAAATTTTTTGAGTGTCTTTTTAACTATGCTAGGCCTGTGCTTTGTGGATTCTAGAAATCAGTGATGGCTCAAGACCTTAATTGACATTTGACTGAACCTACAACTGTTACACCTCTGTGATCTTTGTCAGATGTTGCTTCTTAGCAGTTCACTACAGCAAGAGTACTCTTCTAATACACTTCTTTGAGTTTTTCTCTCCAGGCATAAAAATAGAACGCTGAATGCCTGAGAATATTTACAGTTCTTTTAAGTAGACTTGTTATGATTAAGGGTCTTGAAGAATTTGAATCTGCATATAACTGCATTTCTTGGCTGATCCACAGATTTCCTAATACTTTCATCCACCAGCGCCTGTAATCAAGGATCTATTTCAAATTAACAAATAATTATTCTTTGTGGTCGGGTATAAATAAAATCTAATTTTAAGTTTTGCTCTATTTCCCACCTGCATTAATGTGTCTTTAGCCATAAAGCATCTCTAGTAGGCTTATATTTGCCTAGGGAACTTATCTAATTAAGGATAGGTAAATAATCACTAGAGGGGAGATTGTGATGTGTCTCATTGGCCAGGATAACAGTACTTCTTCCAAGGAAGTGATTGTCATCTGGCCTGTGTGGGCTCCCCTAGGATGTGTGTCGATGTTGATGGAGACCTCAATTATTATTCTTCCCAAGCTCTGGGCCAACAATTTCCAAACTGTTATATATGCAGCTATAATCATCATATTCCCTTATATTTGTATAGTGCTTTCAGCTTATCAAGTGCTCTCATGTGATTATGTAATTCACTTTTCACAACAGCTGACGAAAAGAGGTTAAGGGACTTGCCCAAGGTCACACCACTACTAAGTGGCTTGGCCAGGGCTTGAGAAGAGTCTTTCCATTTGTCATTTTGTATTTCCTTTTCATGTCGACTATTTCAGTTGAACTGCTGTTGCTCTTTTGATTAACATTCTATCTCCTGTGACACAGTGGGAGACTAATTGGAATGGCAGAAATATATCTTGTGATGTGCAGATGCATTGAGTGATGTGTAGTGATAAATGGTCGGACTGTTCTGCATCCTAAGGGAAACGGGGTAAGAGCAGGGTGTGTTATGTTTGCGGGACAGCTGAGAGATTCAGCTCCGTTTACTTTGCCCTTTCTAATTACCTTTCTCTCTCCAATTATGGTTTTAAAGGTCCACTGAAGAGTAATTTGAAGAAACCTATTTAAAATCATGCTGAATATTTAAAGTGGAAATTTCACTGTCAGCAAATTTCTTGGGCAAGCATGAAAACAGAATGAACTTTACAAGACTGAAATTTCAAGAGGGAGGGAGCTTAATTAGAAGAACTGTCCTATCTCTTCTCTTCTAAAACTAGAAGAATAACTATATGGCCTGAGAGAATTAGGAAATTGGAATTTCTAGTTAGCAGTGTGGTATTATAAGCAGCCCTTATTTTCCTCCAGCTTCTGTGTTGCTTATCCGGAAGCTCATTTTCTTTAATAGTATGCATGAAATGTTCTTTCCATTTCTCAAGGAAGAGGTCCTCGTCCATGAGTGGTTTAAATTTAGTCATGGGCAAGTTGGAGAGTGGGAGCCATGAGGTACAGGTTCTTTGTGACTTTTCTGGCAGCAATAAGACTGGCTAACTGCAATTTTTGTGTTATTTATTACTCATTATTCATACTAGCCGTCTGACTCATGCAAATGTGTTAATATTAAATGAAGTGCAAGTAAAATACTTTTAAATTTTTATTAAAATTTTTTTAGCTCAGTGCTTTTTTTGTTGTTCTTAATGGTTAATACAGTGGAAGAAAAGATTTACTTTAAATTCTTATCTACCATGCAGATAATACATTGCGTGTGTTATACATTTATATATGTAAATGTAATAGATGTGTAATACATAATATGTATTACATTAGTGTAATATATGACATTTTCGAGTTGTTTGACTTGTCCTTACAAGTCACAATGTCTTCTCATTTTGTCAGATGTTTTGGGAGCTTAAGGAAAACAAATTTTAATTTCACTCTAAACTTTTGTTTTTTTTTAAAGATTACACCTGAGCTAACAAACTGTTGCCAATCTTTTTTTTTTTTCCCTGCTTTTTCTCTCCCACTCCTCCCAGTACATAGTTGTATATTTCAGTTGGGGGTGCTTCTAGTTGTGGCACATGGGATGCTGCCTCAGCGTGGCCTGTTGAGTGGTGTCATGTCCATGCCCAGGATCCAAATGGGTGAAACCCTGGGCCACCGCAGCAGAGCATGCGAACTTAACCACTCGGCCATGGGGCTGGCCCCTTAATTTCACTCCAGAACTGAACACAGTGAGGTAAATTGATTGTATAGAAAAATTTATACTTTTCAAAGGCACATATAAATGACTTTGGGTTATTATTGTTTTAAAAGTCCTTTGTTGTAAAATCTGGGTGCCAGTGTGTGATCTCCCTCCCACCCCACCCCCTGCCCAAATTTTGTAACTCATCAGAATGCTGGGCATATAGATGACCCATAAACATTTATTTTTTTTGGTTATCCATTCCTTGCCATTTATAATTCTTTTTGGGCGTTATTTTTACAGTAAAGTATGTTGAAGGCGTCTTGAAACATTCTTTAATAGTCTTTCCTCTTTTGCTTATTACAGCCAAGTGTTCATATTTCTCTTGCCGAGAGTGGTTTTTTGCCCTTCCCAGGCAAATTGTTTTATAATTGTTGGCATATTTTTTACTTCAACAATTCATAAAATCTTACCTATTTCCTTCTTTGGAAAATAAAAGAATTTAGTCAACAGTCAAAATATCTGACAGATAAGAAAAGGGACAAAAATGATCATAAAGCATTTGGGTGCCATTTTAAATGGAATTTACAGGGCTAGGAATTTATTAAAGAAGATGGTATACTGACCAGGCACTTGGATTTGTTGAGATCTCAAAACCACAGGTAGTAATTACGAGGCTGAGAAGAGGGTCACCTGCTTCCAGGGGGCTCTCTGCTCACAGTGGCGAGCTTGGGGCGAAGCAGTAGCATAACATTTCACTGATTCCTTCTTTCATGTCTGCACTTGCTTGTTCGAGAAATACCTGTTTGAATGACCTCCATGCCAGGCAGTGTTGCAGGCAGCAAGGAGAGTGTGGTCAGGCCACCCAGGGAGCTGCACTCCTGGGGCTTGCCTTCTAGCGGGGAAGTAGACAGTATTTCGACTGTGATAAGTGCTGAGAAGAAAAGCCAGGCTTAGGGTTTAGAGAGCGACTAGGCATCTCACTGCCTCCTCTATTTCAACATGTTCAAAATGGAACTCATCATTTTACCTGTAAAGTCTTCCTGAATTTTCTACTTGGTGCAGTGCCCCATGTTTCACCCCCATCATCCAGGTTAGAAACCTGGGATTCCTCTTTGCCTTCTTTCCTATCCCACACTTTCAGTCAATCCTGAAGTTGTGCCTATGCTCTTTGCGGTTTCCTTCACTCCGGTCAGTTCCCGGTCCTTGTCTGTGTCTGGCTCATTGCAGCGGTCTCCTAACTGGGCGTCTCTCACTCCAGCCTGGACTTCTGCAGATCCATCAGCTGTAAGACCACCAGTATGACGACTTATGTGCCGAACGTGAAAATCTGCTTAACCCCTTCCTGGGTTCTTTGCTTAAAGTATAAGCTCTTAACGCCTTAGCATGATACAGAAAGTTCTCTGTGATCTGGACCCTGCCTGCCTCTGGAACATCTCTTTTCCCACTCCCTGCCCAAGTTTTATTGCAGCAGTAATGACTGCATTTCCCCACCTTCCCACACCGCTTCTCACACACTTTTACTCAGGGTATCCTTTGCTGGCCCTTTTCTCCCCTGTCCCACCTTGCCTGAAGAACTTTTACTTATCCTTTAGGCCTGGGCTCAGTTGTCACCCGCTGGCACCCTCCCTTCCAGACTGGTGGAGAAAGTGCTCCTGGGGTAGCTCATCTTGTTTTTGCCACATTGTTTTATGACATTCTGTGTTTGTCTCTGTGGTTCCCATTAAATTGTGGGTTGTGAAGGGCAGGGAGTGAGTCCTACCGATCTTTCTCTCCCTGATGCTGCATGTAGAGGGCACCCAGTGGATGCTTGTTGAATTAATGGCATTTAAAAACTTGACAGTAATTCATTCCGAAAGTAGAACATCAGTCAACCTCAGATCCTGTTTACAAAACTCTTAAATCACGGACAGTGTAAAGAATAACCCATAACAGTTTAGATTACTGGGACTGTATTAGTGATTTTACTCAAAATAATCACTTAAACATTTTGACTTTTTTTGGGGGGGCCTGGAGGTGGTAGAGACATCGTTTGACAAAGGCATTTTTTTCTCATCATTTTTCTCCTTGGGGAAAAACCCAGCATCTTTTCAGATGAGCTCTTTATCTTCTACCCTTGACTTAAATGTCCTCAGTGCTCCAGTTCCAACACCCTTTTCTCTCACTCGGCGAGTTCTCGCTGGGTGATTCTGTCCTCTTCTTTGGCCTTAGTAACTGTTTAAATGCTCATGACTCCCATGTGTCTCTCTTGAGCCTCAGATTTGTATACCTAACAGCCTATTGAACAGGTCCCTGTATGTCCTACAGGACACCTCAAACTCAGTGTGTTCCAAGCAGAAGTCATTACCTTTTCACTCAGGTCTGTTAGCGTCCCATGTTCCTGTCTCAACAAGGAGTACACTTGTCCACTGAATTCTTGAGGCCAGAATCCTGAGCATCAGCCTTGACTCCTGGCTCCCTCAAGCCTTCCATCCCGAGAATTCCACCTTCTGACTATAGGTCAGACCGGTGCACTTTGCTCCACGTCTACTGCCACTAACCTCTTCTCGGCCATCGTTATTTCCGTTCCTGCGGGCTTGTTCCTTTAAGCCATTTTGCAAACGGCAGTGAGAGTGATGTTCTAAAACACACTGATGTCAGTCCTCTCTGTAAAAGCTTTTAAGTGTTAGTTGTTCTTAGGGATAAAAATCTACAAGATTTTTTAACATGGCTTACAGGCTTGTCACCACAACATATTATTTTCAGCTGTTTTCAACTTGTTTTTTTAAACGTGACTTCTTTTTTCCTAGTCTTTGCTAACTTTTCTTTCAGCCCAGAATACTCTCTCCCACCCCTCTTAATCTAGTTAATTGTTAATTATCACTTAGCTGTTGGCTTAGATATTCCCTCCAGGGACCTCGCCTGTCATCGCATTTTGTGCAGACTCTTGTACTGTTATGTCATAGCACTTACACTGTATTGTAATTGTTTGAGTCTCCCATGAGACTCTGAGGGCCAGGCCTGCCTGTGTCTTGTCAGCAGCGTAACCCCAGTGCCCAACATAGAGCTTGGAACCTGGCACAAAGTCAGTCCTTTTTGTTGGCTTATTTAGCATTTTAGCCATTTACTCTTATTCCTTAACCTTTTTGAAATTCATTTCCTGTAAAAAGTTCACATCCTGATTTGTGGGTGAAAGTCTGTAGTAGAGCCTCAATTCCAAAGAGTTTTGCTTCACTTTCAAGAGAGAGAATTAGCTAATAAGAGACTCTTGGCGGGATTAGTTTATAAAACATCTTCTTTATCCTAGTCTTATATGCCTTGTGCACTAGACAAAAATTGATATTGAGAATTACTATTTCAAGATAATTGCTATTCTGTTTTGTCCAATATGTACTTTATTTCCTCAAGTATAAAAATAGAATGTTTATATTGGTTAATAGCTTGGATTCCAGAGTAAGATTTAAGTGAGTCCAAATCTTGACCATACTTCTTACTGGTTCTCTGACCTTGGCCATCATTTACAACTTTTCCAACCTTCAGTTTCCACCCCATTCCACTCCCGTGTAAAGTGGGAGTGTAAATAGTAGCCCCTGCCCATGGAGATGGTGTGCGGATTCAAGGAAATAATGGACAAAAAGCATTTAGTGTTGTGCTTGGCACATACAAAGCATCACTAAGTTATCAGTGATACTTCTAATTTTAAGAAGACTTGAGTATCTCTGTTGAAAGAAAGAAGTATTTGAGGTCATAAAACTATCAGCTAGAAAATCCAACTTATCAAAACAACCAGTTCCTTGAGTTTCTAATTAACTGAAATATGAATGAATTTGTCATCATGAGTTATACGTTTTGTCATTCTTTTCCCAAGAATAGCGATTTCCAACTTTGAGCGCAAGATAGCATACTTTCTGAATGTGTCCTCTAATTTCTGAATGAGTGTCCTCCAGAGTATACTTTGAGTGTAACAGTTACTTTTCAAGTTAAAACTGAGAAAGTAAAGTACAGGAAAATTAGTTTTCTGTTCTCGACAAAGGTTGCTTTTATCTTTTTTCAGTAGTTTTAAATGAAGGAACTATTAAGATTAGCATAGCTAAATAAAATGCATCTTGGAAGAAGATGAGTGCATATGCTCAAAAGTGATGGATGTGTGTGTGGAGCTTCTTTGTGGATATGCAATATCCTGAATTTCCTATTTGTGTGTTTATTTTTCTTTCCTAGAGTTAAAAGATTCTTTCCTTTATTGTAACCTTACCAAAATCTGTGGTACTTAGAAACCTAGCACAAGTGCTAGGCTTAGTCTGTGTGTGTCCAGATTTGCTTCATCCCTCACCACTGCAGCACAAGGAGGGGACTTTGCGGTGGGACGGGTCTTCTCCGTACCTTCTGTCTAAAGAGGTCGGAAACGTCACATCCCTTTAGTCAGATGCTCACTTTTTGTTTTATGGGGATTAGTAACCACAAAAAAAGTAAATATAGTGCTCAGTCTTTCCTTGAAACGTGCTTTGAATTAACAATCTATAGTTCTAGTGCAAGTGTGATGAGTTAAGATTTTAAAAAATGAAAACCAGCCCAATTCTATGTAACAAGCCCATTCAACATTTTTTTTTTTTTTCCAGTGCTGACTTTTTTGAAGATGAGGCAGTTGAACAGATTTTGAAGTATAATCCTTGGTGGACTGATATCTATTCAAAAATGACAGCCTCTTTGGGAAAGAGTCAGGAGCAAGAAAATCATGCTGCATTAGGTAAGAACCTCAAAATTAGGCTCATTTGTTTACCACCTTCCCTGTTATTAAGCACACAATTGTAATTGACTAGTAGAGTGCAGATCTTATTCTGGTTTGCTGATTTTCGAAATGGGGCCTTCACCCTGGACTGGAAAATGCTGCTCAATAATTAGACTTATTTTTCTTGGATAATTCTTTTGAAGTATGTTTTTCTTTTGAATCATTGGGGTCCTTTTAAAATTTTTATTTAAGTAAATTTAGGGACATTAACACACAGGACATTTTTAGTTGTTGAATAATCTGTTTGAGGGATCTGAATATTCCTCTGTGGTCAGGGCATTTGAGTATTAGTAATGGTGGGAAAAAAGACCCAGTTTTCATTCCCTTTGTTGAATGAATTTGATATGCCTGCCCTAATTTTTTCACAAGTGCTTTTAAGTGGGAATAGTTATCCTCATTATCTGTACCTTACAGAGAGCAGGTGGACCAATTTTTACCAATGAAAGCCGAGCTGGGGGGTTTTACGAGCCACAGGAGATGGCTGTATCATGTTTAACATTAGGCCAAATGTTATCCACAGAGTCCTTTCTTTAGATGGTCGTTTTATTACCACCTTCTCTAAGTTGGAGGTTGTTATAGTAAGTCTGTAAATTAGAGTTATAACAGTTTCAGATAGATCAAAAATAGAAGGCCCATGTTTTCTGTCACATTGATTTGGCTTTTATTTATATATTAAAAATAAAATTTTAGTGTTAAAATGAAAGCGTATATCTGCACATACACCTACATACATTAAACGGAATGTAGGACCTCCCAAAGTCCTCTTCCTGAAAGTAATCACTGTTAACAATTTTGGGGTATTTTTTTTTTTTCTGCTGAGGAAGATTCACTCTGAGCTAACATCTGTTGCCAGTCTTTCTCTTTTTTTGTTTGAGGAAGACTAGTCCTCAGCTAACATCTGTGTCCATCTTCCTCCACTTTGTATGTGGGTTGCCACCGCAGCATGGCTGACAAGTGGTGTGGGTCCATGCCCGAGATCTGAACCTGTGAACCCAGGCTGCCAAAGTGGAGCACACTGAACTTAACCACTACACCGCGGGGCTGGCCCCCAATTTTGGAGTATTTTTAATGCATATACTCACATCTAAATATTTGCTTTAAGAAATTTATACACATAGACTCATAAATACACTCTCTTCTTACCTTGCTTTCTCTTGATTGTAGTATATGTTGTACATCTTCCATATCAGCACTTGCGGTTCTATGTGAATGCCAGCTTAGTATTCTCTTGTCTATTTGTATCATGATTGATGAATGTTTTGGCTGTTCACTACTGATGGACATTTGGGTTGTTTATAGTTTTCTGCAGTGGCCTTCTCTGATCACTCACTCTCAAGTAGCTGTAAGTCTCTATTGCATCACAGTGTTTTGATTCTCTGCATAGCAATGCAATAGCTTGTTATTTGCTCTCTTTCCAGTATCTAGCATAGTGCCTGTTATATAATAGGTACTCAATAAATATTTATAGAATAAATATTGCAGTAAATATATATATATATTTTTAAAGATTGGCACCTGAGCTAACATCTGTTGCCAATCTTTTTTTGTTTTTAATTGGTTTTTCTCCCCAAATCACCCCAGTACATAGTTGTATATTTTAGTTGTGGGTCCTTCTAGTTGTGGCATGTGGGACACCACCTCAACATGACCTGATGAGTGGTGCCATGTCCGCTCGCAGGATCCGAACCGGCGAAACCCTGGGCCGCCGAAGCAGCACGCAAACTTAACCACTCGGCCATGGGGCCGGCCCCTGCAGTAAATATTTTTGTAGTTAGGTTTTGTTAGAGTTTTGGTGGTTTCTACCAGATTCAAAAATTGCTACTGTAATCTTTTTGAATTGACTGTACTTGCACAACAGAAACTTGTTTATAAATAGTGACTCTTGTTACATTGTTTTCAACAAATCCTTGGGTTTGTGTTTGTATTTGATTTAAGTTTAAGGGTCTTTCAGAGACTTCCCGCATTATTCAGACAAATTTTCAGGTATAGGATGGTTAATACAATTTAGACAGTCGTCTGTATATGCCATGTACTTCTGCTGAGAAGGCTTGCTCAGACTTCACTCGTCAAGGCTGTCTACTGGTTGGAATCTGTTTCCCCAGGTTTAGTGCAGTGTTTTAGTGAGGTGGTGTGGGAGGAAATTGGTGGTTGCGTAGTTGAGTTTTCTGTCCACAAGGGTGAGCTAGTTGCCCTAAAAATCAGGAGAAGGCGTTACCTTTGATTTAAATTCTAGCTTGCTCTAGTTTGATCAGTTGTAGCTTGTTCTAGGTCCTGTTTTCTGTGGGAGCCATGATTTGAGTTAGTAATCTATGTATAATTTTAACAGAAGATTAACTAGTTCTTCCCTTTAACCACTGGCATTCCTGACCCTTCGCCTTCATCTGGTCCGTGGCATATATCCAGACTGGCGCTTCAGGAACAATCATAGTCTACGGAGCTAGTATGGTGACTCATTCTAAAAATCATTTCTAAAAATAGCAAGGACGTATGATCTAAGGTAGCAGAACTTGAGTTCCGTATTGTGCAGAAAGTCTCTCTTCTAAATGCGCCAAGTGTAGGGTTAAGTATAGGAGATAAGGTAAATGTGGGGCTCGGGGTTTAACACCTTGCTCCCCTGCAGGCTAGCTGTGTGATCTTCCACCTTCTCTGGGTTGCCGTGGAAATCCTATACCTACCTCGAAGAGTTGTCATGAGGATTGAATGAGATGATGTCCTTAAAATCCTTAGCATATTGTTAACGTTGGGAATTATTGTTATAGAGTGAAATTAGTGGCTGGAGAGCCAGGAATTGAATGGCTTCTCTGTGAAGTTACAATTTTTGTACATTTACAAGGCTTTAAGGGGAAGTTCTCTGTTAATGAAATGTTTCATTTTCTTTTTGTTCAAATATGTGAGACACTCAGCATTGGAGGAATAAGTTGAAGTGTGTGGGCCCAGGATAAAATATGAGAGAAAAGAATCAACCTTAAAGATCTCGGCCTACTCAAGGAGCGTGCTGCCGCTGTGGTTTTCCCTCTTCCTCTCTGTTTTTTGCCTCCCATGCCTTCTTCCTCCCTGTGTCATGGGAGGGGGGTGTTGCCTCTTTAATGCTCCCTCATCAGGCACTGCCAGGCAGATGTGACAGTGCAGGTGAGGGGGCACCTTTGGTTCATCCTTCTCATAAAATATTAAGCTGGATTGTTCTCAGTTCCAGATAAGCTTAAGTGGCAAACTTTGCTCTCTGTCTTTGTCTTGGTTATGATTCTTGTTATTTTCATCGTAGCCCTGAGTTACAACACGGAGACTTTTATGAACATCTTCAGTTTTGTAGTGATCCGGATCCTCCTCCCCAAGGGCTTGTAAATGGAAATGTTAAATGCTGTGCTCCCACTGAGCTCTGGTTTCGTGAGGATGGACTTGCCACATTTCCCATGTTGTCTTTCAGTGGTTAATCTCAGCCCAGGAATCTTGGCACATGATTGCTTGTTATGACACCACATAACATTTGTAGTCAATGAACTTCCTCGCAGGGACATCCTGTTTGGCATCAGTGAGCTCTTCAGTGTCTGTAGAGCTCACTGTCAGTGTCAGCTTTGAAGGTTGTAGCACCGCAGGGCTACCCATTTAGGCCGAGGGTCTGAATGCAGCACATTTTCTTCTGGTTTCCTTGATCTGTTTCCAGAAAGTGTAGTGGACAGATTTGTATTCCTCTGAGAGGAGACAGATCATGGATGATTTAGTTGTTGACCCACAGAAGACGAGGACGTTTGGGAGCGGGATGTAGACAGAAGGGAAGACTTAAAAGTGAGAAAACCAGAAAATCTTCTAAGTGAAGTGCAGAGGTCGCTTTCCCTTTTGATGGGAGCCCCTTTGCAGGCCTTAAACTTATTAATGGGGTTTTTCATGTTGGGAGGTGGTCGTGGGCCATTTGCTTTGATGCTAGGGCACCAGTTTCTTCCCCAAACCAATCGAGCTTTCAGCTGGCTTTTGTCTGACTGCAGATTATTTATAGAAGTATAATTAACCAAAATGTTGTGAACTGTATAGCAAAGCTGCTTTGTAGTATAGCTAAGTCATACAAACGCTTGACAAATGTTACTCGTGGTGGCAATCATCCAAGTATTGTTGGCACTGCGTCTGTAGTTATTTCCAGTGCTGCCGCTCAGGCAGACCTGATTGTGCGCAAACCTCCCCAGTTCCCCTTGGCGTGATATGATTTATAGCTCTAATAAAAAAGGCCTTTGGGAGCTCAGACTTTTGTTTTCTCTAGTGATTTCCTGGTTTGTTGTTATTGTTATTTATCATCTCTGGTTTCTTTGCTGGAATTTCTGAACTTAAAGACGTCTGTGTATTATTAATGAACTGCTTAGGCAAAATGGAAATGTAAAAACACTCAGAAAAAGGCGGTGGTGTTTTAAGGAAAGGCTAGGGGCACCTAGCATCTAAGAATTCAGAGGAGTGTCTTCAAGTAGGCTTTTTCTATGCGCACAGTCGTGGAAAGTGACCTCTGCTATGTGGAAGCACACACTGTGGTAGTGTAACGTCAGAACCGACAGCTCCCAGGTCAGCCGTTACAAATCATCAAACAGATACAGGTGCGATTACTTAAGAATGAAGGCATAAACATGTAGATGCGTTGATGTGTTGCTAAACGGTTGTGAGCACGCTTACCTGGTGATTCAGAATTATGTGAAAGCAGGGGTCTTTATTAGTCATCTAGGACGTAAACGTTTTTCTCTAGTGAGATAATATCATCGTGAACACCTGGCCTTTTCCTGTTAGCTAAATTAATGAATGTCTCAAAAACTGTACCTGAGGGAATACTATCTCAAACCTTCTTGCTAAATACTAGGGGTCTTAAAATACTTTTTCAGGAATACTTTCTTCATACAGTGAGTACGTTCCTTCTTAGTTTCCTTAGATCAGATCACTTTATGTGGACTGAGAGCTCCTGTTTAAAGTAAGGGATCTTCATATGAGCCCTTTAATGAAACAGTCAACAGCTAGTTTGTCTGTCTTATTTTGTTTTTAAATGTCAGTCTTTAAAGAGTGCTTCACCTGATGTCTGTCTGCCCGCATTGTTTAAAAATATACACTTTTTTTACATTGCTGGCTGACAAATTAAGTAAATGCATTCTCATAGTTATTTGTTGTTTATGTAAGCAATGCTTGTGCACATACATTTCTTTTTTCTTATATATTTTAAACATAGAAATTTCTAACAGGGTTGAAAAAAATTATATAAATTATTTCACAATCTGTTTTTTTGTTTGCTAAGTGTATTTTAATGAGTAAAGGAGTATTTCTTCTAGTAATTTCAAATGAGTGTGTGTTTAAGATTTTTTTTTCCCTAGAGGATAGCTGGTAAAACTGCTGGAAGAAAGGCTTAAAACAAAAAGAAGCCATATTAAACTTAAAGCTCCTAAGAGAGGACAAACATGAGTTTGAAAAACTACAGTCATGCATCACTTAATGATGGGGATACGTTCTGAGAAATGTGTCGTTAGGCGATTGCGTCCTTGTGTGAATAATATGAAGTGTACTTACACAACCCTAGATGCTATAGCCTACTGCACACCCAGGCTGTATGGTACTCATCTTCTGGGACCACTGTTGTATGTGCCGTCTTTTGTTGACCAAAATGTTGTTTTGCGGTATTTGACTGTATATGTGAAAAGAGGCCATCGTCTGTGAGTAATCACAACCTCTTTCTTCTGGCTTTTGTCCAGTCGTGATGAGCAGAAGGGCAGTCTTGTTGAGCAGAAACAGAAAGGGACTGGGTAGCTAGCTATCAAGAAGATGTCTGGAAATATTAATAAGGCAGTTTAATAATTTTTGGTCTCCGAAGGGTGTCAGAGACAGCCAAGTGTCTTTTCTTAGCCCCTCTTCCCTAAGAGGCTTCCTGAGTTAGAGCTGGGCACATAACCACTAGCTAAGGACTACATTTCTTTTCCTTCCTTGTCATTGAGTGCGGTCATGTGACTGAGTCCTGGCTGATGGGAAGTCAGCGAAAGTGCTGTGTGCACTTTCTGGATCAAGTCTTTAGAAAGAAGGTGCTTGCCATCCTCTTCTTATTCTGCTTTCCCATTGGTTAGAAAATGGTAAAAACCTGGAACAGCTGTCTTGGACCAGTAGATGGAAGTTATATGATAGAGAGGCTGATGCCCCCTTAGTCCTGGATCATTCACTCAGGTTGGTAGCGTGAGAGAAAAACTTTCATCATATTTAGCCTACTGAATTTTGGGGTCTCTTTGTTAACAGCAGTTTAGCCTGTCTTTACCTAAATATAATGGACAATTCTAAAACCTGGAGAAAAAGACTTTAAAGTTATTTCGACATTACTTTGATATGAAGCACCAGAACGAGAAGCTGGATGCTCCTCTTTACTGGGTTTAAAACCTTTTTAAGTGAATTTGAAAGTGATTGTGTGATAGGGCATAGAAGGGAAATTAAGGATGACTGTGCAAGGTAAGAGATTGACAACACTTTTATTTAGAGGTGACGGTGTATCTAGATGTTCAAGTTTTTTTTTTTTTTTTAAAGATTTTATTTTTTCCTTTTTCTCCCCAAAGCCCCCCGGTACACAGTTGTATATTCTTTGTTGTGGGTCCTTCTAGTTGTGGCATGTGGGACACCGCCTCAGTGTGGTTTGATGAGCAATGTCATGTCCGCGCCCAGGATTCGAACCAACGAAACACTGGGCTGCCTGCAGCGGAGCGCGCGAACTTAACTGCTCGGCCACGGGGCCAGCCCCCTAGATGTTCAAGTTTTTAAATAATTGCTCTGAGACAAGTGGTAGGCCATGTTTTACTTAATAACTAGGAGCTGAGCACATCTATGTTATTAGTTGTTATGTTACCCTTTCTGTAAATCTTGCTGTAAGACAAGATGTATTTTACTTCGTATGTAGAGTAAGAAGGAACTGATAATGCTCATGTTTTGTTAATGTGAGAAGATAGATACTTTGTGATAGCTTGCCTAAATTGTAGGCATCAAAGGAAACTTAAAAGTAACCACAATCTCATCCTTACTTGCCTTATCAATGTAGACATAATTTTTTTTAATCATTAGCATTTATTAAGTATTTTAGTTTACTTTTTTAAAACTTTTTATTATTTTATTGAGGTCACATCGGTTTATAACACTGTGTAAATTTCAGGTGTACATCATCATATTTCGGCTTCTGTATAGACTGCATCCTGTTCACCACCAAAAGTCTAGTTTCCATCCGCCACTGTACAAATGAACCCCTTTACCTCTTAGTTTGCTTTTTTCCAGTCTGGGTAGCCAATATTTGATAAGGTGGGTGAAATGTAAAAAGAAATAGCTTTTTCTCTTCTATCAAGAAGCATTTAAGAATGGAAATGGGAAAAGAAATTTTGCAAGCGACAAAAACTGAAAAGCCTTTGAAGTAATTTTTAGCAAGAAAAGTAATAGATCTATTTGACAAAGTTGGTGGTTCAATCCAGTGGGAAAGAGGGATTACTGAACAAACTGTGCTGGCACAATTAACTCTTCATGTGGAATTAACTGAAATCTTAAAACGTGAAAAAGTAACTTCCAGATGGAATAAAGACTTAAATTTTAAAAAGGAAACTACCTCTTAAAGCAAAGCTGAGAGACTTCATGTACACCTCGGGGGTTGGGGAAACCTTTTGAAGGCTGTAAGTCTAGAATCTGTTAAAAAAAGTTAAAAAGAGATGGACGTATTTGGCTACACAAAAAATAATTTAATGGCCAAAGATTCCATAAACGAAGTCAATAGATATGCTGTAGATTTGGAGACGTGACTAGGGTTCATGTCTATGATAGACGGTGAGTTCTTAATTTGACAAGACAAGCCATCCAGTGGAAAAAATTGGGTAAAACACATTCAAATGCATAATTCACAGGAGAGCAAAGCCAAATTGCCAATCGACCTATGAAATAATGCTCAGAGTTTGGCAGTTAGAGAAACACTATCTGAAGTCACAATAGTATGTCAGTGTATTAGTTTTCTCTTGCTGCATAACAAGTTGCCACCAATTAGAAATGGACTTCTGGTTTGCCTCCGTTTTCCATGGGTCAGGAGTCAGGCATGGCTTAGTTGAATCCTCTGCTCAGGGTCTTGGCAAGGCTGTAGACAAATATGACCATCTTTTTTTTTTTTTTTTTCTTTTAGTAGATGTTGGCAGCTATGTTCTCAGGGTCCTCTTCCAAGCTCACGTGATGCTTGGCAGAATTCCGTTCCTGTGGCTGTAGAACTGAGTCCCCAGAGGCTTGCTGTCGGCTGGGGGCCACTCTCAGATCTCAGAGGCCCCCAGAGTTCCCTGCAACACAGCCGTCTCATGGCATGGCATCTTCTTTATTCAAAAACCAGCAGGCCAGTCTCTGGCTCCAGTCTGCTAATAGTGAAGCATAATCATGACAGTGACTGTCCCATCACCTTTGTCACATTCTTCTGGATAGAAGCAAGTCAGGTTCTGCCCACACTCACATGATGTGACTCAGTGGGGTCATTTAGGATTCTTCCTACCATACTCACTTGATATCCATTAAACTGGAAACTGTTAAAGAAAGCTATTACATTTATTGCAGGAAGGGTGCGAGAGAGATGTGTAGGAAAGGGAGCTTCTATCCATGACTGTTGGAAAGGAGAGTTACAGCCTTTAAATAAAGTATCTTTTAAGAATAGATCTACTTTTTGACCCAGTAAATGTGCTTGTGGGAATCTATTTTATGGAAACAGAAGATCCAGTATCCCAGGACATATGACAGCGACGTTTATTTCAGTGTTATTAGCTGTGGCAGAAAACTGGAAGCAAAGTGTATGCCCATCAGTAGGGGGAGTGATTGGATAGAGCATGGCACACCATGGAATATTCTGCTCCTTTACAAAAATTAGCTAGTGCCAACGGATGTGGAGAGATTTGCCAGAATATTGTTGAGTGAGACAGGCTAGGTGGAGAAAAATGATGTAATTCTTTGCGGGTGAAAAGGTGTAAGCTCCCTTGTCTATATGTTTGCGTGTCTGTACGTGTTTACATGGTTGTAGAGAAAAACATGAAAGATATATATACTAGATTGTTAATGTGGGGGAGACTATTACTGAAGATGGAGAGACGGTGCCAAGGAAAAGAAGAAAAGGAAAAATAGACTGTTGAAAAGAAACATCTTCTCCCCACAAGTCTAATATGTGTGATATAGTCACATTTGTCTATTTATGTAAAACTTTGTTTCTATGTGTAAGGAATAATAAATACTGTACCTTTAAAATTGATTAACATATGAGAATATTTCCATTTCTTTGTATATACTTTCAAAATGGATAATGAATATAGAGTGTTTTATTTAGCTGTTATATGTTTTCTGTTGTCAAAATGTGTTATCTTAATTTTAAAGTCAATAACTCTGGCATTAGATCCGTTGAATACAGAACAGTGTCGCAAACAAATGGGGAGGGGGGTGTGGAAATAAGGCATAGATATTGTCTAGACATTTCTCCTTTATTTAGTCCTACTGGGGTTTGAGCAAATGCATAGCCCTCAATAAAACTGTGAAGCCTAGCTAAAAATTTGTTTCTATATCCAGAGTTAAATAACTTTTATTTCAGTTTCTGTAATTAAAGTTCTAATTTTGAGAAATCTTCCACGTTGAGGGTTTTAGAAAACTGAACGGAACATCTAATTTTTGAATGCATTTTCTTCCAGTGTCTTTTTCTGAGGAAGAGAAATATCAGCTGCGAAAGTTTGTCAATAAATCTTACCTGCTGGACAAGAGAGCCCATCGTCAAGTGTACTACAGTTTGATTGATATCCTGCTGGCGTATTGCTACGAAACTCGCGTCACGGAAGGAGAGAAGAATGTGAGTGCTCATGTGTCTGTGCCCGTTGGCCTTGACAACTGTACTAAGTAGACTGTATTAAGGCATCAGCCTCCAGTTGTGATGAGTGATTTAGGGGATGCTCTGGGCAGAGGAGCACTGTGTGTTGGTGGTGGGTACCAGCATGAAAGCATAATGCTCACTTGGTCTTTTTGTCTTCTCTCTTGGCATTCGTCTCTACCAAATAGCAGAGCGGGGAAATAAAGCTTTGGAGTAGAGGAAAGGATATCCTAACTCTCGTCTCTTTCAGGAGATGAATTGACCAAATAAGAACTATTGCCACGTGACGCTTGGCATTGGCAAGGGGTGAACTGTACCGTACCCATTTATATTCTTTCTCTGAGCTGTCAATTAGGAGATGCAAGACATAGTATTTCACAAAAAAAGGAATCTTAGCATTTATCTGCAGGTATCCCCCAATTTATATAGTATGTGTACTTCTGAAAAATTGTATATAAATCTGATTTTTAAAAACTGGAAGCATATCTTTTTTGCTGCATAATGAAATTGTATTGTAAAAGTCCTTTTGTAAAGTACATTATTTCTTAAACGATTTTTTTTAATAATATAGACTCTATTCTATCTTCTTAAACCACATTTGATTTTGTAAATGAAGAACTAAACTTCTTTCTCACCTACATCACTGATCATATGTAGAGAAAAGGCTGGAAAACCAAAAGAAAATTTTTCCAGTTACTGTGCCCCTGCAAGCTGTTTATAATTGTCCTTGCTCAGGGGGTTGTTTTTGAGCTGAGCATGTGCTTTCCTTTTTTTAAATTACACAAATAATTCATAGCATTGTAAAAGAAAATACACACATGAAGAAAATAATTAAAATTTCCTATAATCTCAATCATCAGAAGTAGCCACCGTTACAAGGTGATGTATGCCTTCTAGTCTTCTTTCGTTGTGCACATGTATGTATGTATGTGTATTTACATTGGTCCTAATGTATGCTAGTATTTAATCTGCTTTTCTCACTCATCATCATAGCATTAGCATAGTATTAGGATTAGAATTTGATATGTGCCAAGTTTTTTGTTGTTATGATTCTGAAAATTTCAAAGGTGACTCTTGAGATTTGCATTTGCCTCTGAAATGAATATTAATGAATGTATCAAGGGCATAATATAACTGGAAATCATTTGTGTTTCCACTCATCTTTTAAGGATAATATAATTGGGGAAAATGTTTTCTTTGACAACAAAGTGCTTTATATTATTGCTTGAGAAGATGAGTGAGAGTGTTTAGTTATGCTTGATAAAATTTACCATTTTTGATTCCTGCATTCACATATTTGAAGTCATGAAGTCTTGCAACTTCAAGACCTTCTCTAGAATGTACTTATTTTCACAAGCATTCTCTGAAAGGCCAAATTCTTGAGCAGCTTTTTAAGTGCCAGAGACAGCATTTCAACATTATCTTTGAGTCCTTTGGTAGATTATTTATAGAATGTTTGGAAGCCTTGTAACTTAGTTGAGAAGGACAGAAATTGAGCAAGCATTGCTTTGCTTTAATTTTTAGTTTCAAAGTCCCTGCTTATTTGCTCTTGTGCTCTGGTATTCTTATCGGTGGAAAAGCTTTACTTTCTAAAATCCCAAAGAAAGGAGACAGAAACCTGCCTTTGATAGCCTCTGCACCAGTGAAGCAGTGATTTTTCTACAGTCATAGACACTTCTTAGTTCTTATATATGTCATACTGCTCAGATACTAGGTGAATAAATGCATATATTTGCTTTGTTTTTGAATGACTTTGCCTCTAATGTGACAGTACACTTTTCTCCAAAACAAATAAAGGTTGAATCTGCATGGAATATCAGAAAACTGAGTCCCACACTGTGCTGGTTTGAGGTATGATTTTCAGTTGCAATTGTTTAGATTTTGTTTGTTTGTTCAGAAAGTTATTTTTCTGTTGTCATTAGTTTATTTTGGGTAATTCAAGCAATTCCTTGGCTTTTTAGAAGTGGAAGCTTTATCATACAAGGTTTTCCCCCCATCTTTTTAATAAAATTCTGATTCCATTTGTTACTCTTACTCTCATCATGGTATACTAATGAAGCCAGGGAGGGTATTTTGGAAGTTGGACAAGTGAGAACACGCTTTGGAGAAAGAATGGGGACATGGTTTGTTGGGGGAGGATGTGGGGTGGAGTTTGAGGCATGTTTGTAAGTTGGCATATATTGAGGTCCAGAGCTCAAAGGTGGGGAGCAAATGTAGGTGATACTACCTACCACTGGCTGCCACACACTCACCACCAGGGACTGTGGTAAGCGTTTTATAGGTATTCTCTCAACTGTTCCTTTCAGTAAGTCCGTGAGATAAGTATTATTGGTATTTTACAGATGAGGAAACTTAGATAGCTTAAATAATTTATCCTAGGTCCTACAATGAGTATGGTTAGACAACTCTTCTATTTTAGTAATGATTGTTTTTATATATTTTCTAGAAAACAGTTGTGTAGGTCTTACCAAAATTATCCAAGAATGGTATCTGCAAATTTCCTAGTTTCAAACAAGCTCTTATGTATCAAAACAGTAATTAAAAGTAGAAGCTTTAAAAAAAGTGTTGATTTAAACGACTGATAATTGCATCATCAATTAAGGCAGCTAGTTTTTTTTTTAGTCTGAATCCTAAATACAGTACATTTTAAGTTGTAAAAGTAAGATTGTTTTATGGCATCACTTTTTCCAATAATAGATTAGATGTTAACAGGAAGTGAAACACAAGTTTATCAGAGAATCTTGCTGCTCCAAGAATGGTCCATGAACCAACAGCTTGACCAGCATCCTTGGCTGGGAGCTTGTTAGAAAGATAGAACCTCAGTCCAGACCCACTGAATCAGAATCTGTAGCAAGATGTCCAGGGATTCGTATGCATATTAAAGATGGAAAAGCACTTCTCTCTAGACTTCATTTGGGGTCTACATAGTGCCACGATCAGCATGTAATGGAGAAACTGGTTTTTGTAATAATTGCGTTAGGTACTAATGTTGAAAACAAAGTACTTGGTGACTAGATAATTTCGTAGTTCAGTTGTTAAAATCAACATGAATAAACTCACCTATTTATGGTTTTATTTTCAAGTTTTTGTTGTTTTTGAGATATCTTAGAATGACCAGCCTTATTAATAGGTATGTCAAATTTTTATGAGTATTTAGTTTTTGTAAAAGTTCCTAGTTCTTTTTAGCTATACACTATTTTTGTCAGATAGTCAATATTCTTAGAGCTCTCATTCATTAAGGATTAATATACATGGAAATGATGCTGCTCCTTTAGTTTTAATTTTATATTTTAGGTTTTATATGTGGGTTACTGTTTTTTATCAAAACCCAATTAAACAATTCTGTAGAAAATCGCCTTTGTCTGGTGTTTTGAGTAAGTATTAAATTGGCAATGCTATCAGTTTGCAGTGCTATTCAAGATAAAACACTTGTTTTCCAGAAATCATTAGTTTTCTCTTTGATAAGTGAAAGCAAATTACTGAATACCATATATCACTCTTTCCCAAAGCAAAAGAAAAAAAAAAAAAGGAAGAGGGAGACTGGAAACACGCTTCACTAAAGAGTTCTACATCTTTCATCGACACTGTCTTGAATGGTCCCCAAAGACGAACACATGAAACGTATATCATTTAGAAATGTCTTTCATGTGCATCTGTATTTTGTTAGTGCCATGTGTTTTAGATTCATATTTGTGATTCTTAAAAGAGTTTTTAAACTTTCCTGCTACATATGTGATTTTTAAGGAGCATCTCTGATATGTTGATAAAGTATGAGAAATTACAAATATGATGATTAAATATTTTATTGTAAGGTGGACAAAAAGAGCCTCATTTCATGCTTTGATATTTCTCTTCTACTTGGCGTCATGATGATCCAAACTTAGAGTTGTTAATTGGTAACAGTTTCATATTTAGTTGTGTGCTTGTGTTTGTGTAATATGGAAATCATTACTTATTTAAATGCTCCTTCACAGACTTGGACTAATGTTCATGAAGTCCTGGTGTCTTTTGGAAGAAGGGTTTTGTGCTATCCACTTTATCGCCATTTCAAGCTGGTGATGAAGGCCCACAGAGACACTGTAAAGATACTGCAACTAGGTAAGATATTGTTGTGCCTACAGATTTAAGAGTGAAAAGTTAGAAGTTTTGAGTCTGTGAGGATGTAATCATGATTTCTGCTTTTTTTCTGACCATAAATAAGTAATGGAAATCATCCAATCCAACCACTTTTCCTCCCAGGTATATAGAGTCACAGTCCCTCTCTAGAGCTGCGTAATCGTGCAGAGAGGTGTGCTGCTCTTTTCTGAGAGGAGTGGGGAGGCTACATGGAGAAGGTACACACCGTATTCCAAACCGTTTTGTATGATTGTAGATTGCATCATTCAGTATTTCTTGGATGCCTGTAAATTTCTAGGCACCATTCTAGGATTGTGGGTATAATAATAAATAAGATAAATTCCCTGCTCCTGTGAAGTTTGCAGTTTTGCCAAGGTGATAGATGATAAATAGGTAAGCACTTCCAAGATCGAGCCAAAGCGCTCTGCTGGGGCAAGTACAGAGATCACTGGGGGCGTGAAGCCTTGGCTCGGGCGGTCAGGACAGGCTTTCCAAAGAAAAGCGCAGCTGCTCTCAGGACCTTTGACTGTTGCTGAATCCAACCTGAAAAGACAAATATTTGCTGGTTTTAAGGATGTGGAAAATTCTAAGCTCTGAAACAAATTCCAAAGTTCCTCTAACAGCATCATTGGATTAAGTATATAATTTCCAAGGTAATGACTTTGAAGGGGGCAACGTCCATTTGTATGTATCAGTTCTGGGACATTTATTTAAAAGTCACTTTCCATACTTTATGGTCATTTCTTATAGTCATCTGTGGAGAGCCTTGTCATCCTTTTGTCCTTAGATGAAAGTGTTTCTGGGGACTTAGTTTTCAGACTTCTGGATAAGAATGGGAAAGAAAGGAAGTTCTACTTCCCTTTACATCCAGGTGACTTCATTGGCTTAAAGGGAAGAATCACGTCTCTAGTGTTCTCTCCCTCCTAGAGGTGTACTAGGTTTCTCTTTGACTTCTTTATAACCTATAGTCCTCTTACCCTGGGGGAAAAAGTCCTGTTTGAAGTAGATTCTTTTGAAGTAGACAGTAATTGTAAAAATGAATCATAGTTAAATGAAAGATACTTTTTTATACATCCAGTTGGTTGAGACCAGCTGTATTTTCTATTGAAGGATTGCTGATTATAGGATAGCAGAGCTACTACCTTTAAGGAATCTGTCTTCTTTAATTTAGCAGTGGGAAACAAGCTCCTTTATTTGTTTGCATGTTATTTCTTCTTTCCATCCAAGATATTTCTTGCATTGCAAAAATTACCTTGAAAAATCAATGTGTTATAAATGACTGATAGTTGAACTTGAGTCACATGTCACAATTAATTTCTTGTTTAAGTCAGGCTAGATTATCTGTGCATTATTCATAGATTTAAACAGTGAGAATGCAGTTTGCGATTATGCTGCTACATCATGGCTTCCAGATGGAAAAGTGGCCAAACCCCCATGTGCGAGTGCACGCACATACACAGTATTACTTGTTACTGTTTATTCTGGGAAGTAATCTAGTTCTCTAGATTTTTATTTGAAAAGTAATCAGTTCTGTGATTGCATAACCAAGAATAAATTTGATTGCCTGGACTGACACTGTAATCAATTACTCAAACAGTTTTAGGAGGTCAGAATTGAAACTTAGACTTAACTTTTCCTCATTATCAATCTGACAAATGTAGTGTTATCAGCTGTGTCGTGATAGCAACAGAAAACCTGAGGTAACACACTGGAGACCTCTCTGCTGAAAACCAATCGGAACCCTCTTTGACCACACACAGTGTGTTCTTTGGCCAATTTGGTTTTTGGCTAGTTAGTGCTGAGCAGAGAGCTGGAGTGTCTAGAGTTCACGCCATAAGCTGTGGGCATGACGAGCTCTGGATGGGGATTGTAACCTGTGTGTGTAAGGTGGATGGCACAGGGGTGCCATTATTGCCATGGAAGAGTCTGAATTGTTTGGACACCCCATAATTTAAGTGGGAATAGCTCTGGTTTGGCATTTAATGTTTTCCAAGAATGAATTCATGCCTACTTATAATTCAAAATGAGTGAGCTTCCAAAACCAAGGTAGGAAGGCTTCAGCATCTGCAGAATATTTCATTATACCTGATTGACTAACATCGGAGTCTTTAAAGAACCATGAATTTTCTTTATCTGACTTCATCGTAGCCTTTACTAGGATTCTTTACCAGGCCTTTGGCTATTTTCAATTTTGTATTCCTTCTCCCGTCTCTTTCCTACCTCCAAAGGCTGTACACTTCTCTCTCACTGTTGCAATATGTCTAACCCAAATTCCTTTAAGGGCAGAAAACCTGCTTTGTCCTTTAAGTACTATTTTAGTGCTTACCACAGGGCCTTGCACGTGGCGGTGCTCTCCCGGAATCAGTAATCGTGGGGCACATGATCATCCCCTTTTTTCCTCTGTTCCTGTCTCTTCGGTAAATTTCACTTCCTCTTCCTTGTTCCATTCTTTGGGAAGAGTGGGAAGAATCCTTCGTGGAAGCATCACTTAGCTGCTGTTACTCATTGAAAATAAATGAAAAAAGGAATCAAGGGAACAGCTTTTCTAATATGTCTTCAGAAACTTTATTCTATTTGGAAGTGACTTTATTCTATTTGATTATACATTGTTTGTACAATTTACTGTTTGTGCTAACATCTACATTTCGTTAATCTTTATAAGGCATTGCTTGCTCTTTTTCCATACTATTGTACAACTATTGAACATATAGTGTAACTATTACATTGAAAGGGCTGGACATCTTGGGCTCGAAGGGAAACAACTTAATTTTTTCTCCCAGTTCTCTCCTCGACCTCATTCTTTCTTTTATTGTTTCTGGGTGGAATATATATCCTGTAAATGTCATATCACACACACATATCCTGTAATATATAATAAATATTCTGTAACTTTTTCTATTACTTTAGATTATAAGAAGAGTCTCATTTCAGTACTTGAAATGTCCCCTTTGAACTTGATTAAAAAAATAAAGCATTCTTTCCCCAGCTTGGGCCTGCCTCAGGTCGGGAAACCAGCAGTGGGGAGGGGGCCCCTTCCCTGTTGCAGGACGTCCCGCCTGCTTCCAGAGCAGGCCCTCGCTCAGCCACCATAGGCTGCTCCTTCCTGCTTCTCTATGGGGGCTTTCCTCAGATAGGGGTCAGGCACTAGTCTTTGTATCCCACAGTCTCCAGGAGCCTCGCTTAAAACCTCCTTTCTCTTGGTTTAAGGTGACAGGAAAGCACCTCCTCCCCTCCCCCATGGAGGGAGGTAGAAACCCCACAGGAGTCCAACAACTGATTCAAAGAAATTTTCTAGACCTCTGTACTCTTCAACTCCTGGAGATGAGTGTTGGTCTAGGGGATCACACATCAGTTTTCTGTTAGTCTCTCTGGAAGTTGAGCATCTCTTTTTAAAATATGTGAATGCTGATATCTATTTTGTCTTTGTGGGCCTCACTGGAAATGAGTCAGAAAGCATCCCATCTTAATATGCTAGCACGGTTGTAATAACCACAGCTGCCGCATTAACCACTTTCTGTGCGACAGCAGGAGGCTCAGTTCTTTAGATACCTTATCTGATGTCATCCATACTGTAATCCTGAGAGGCAGGGATTACTGTCCCCATTTCGCAGATAGAAGACAGGCTCAAAGGAGTGCACTCACTTGCATTGGGTCACACACCCAGTGGTTGGTAGAGCCTGGATTTGACGCCAGATCTCTCTGACTCAAAGTCTGTGCCCTTTGAAGTGTTCAAATAGTTATAAATGAAATTGTATGAAGCCTGGGATTTACTTGAAAATAATCCAGAGTGGGTTGGGGGAAGGTGGGCAGGGTGCAGGGGAGACAGGCTTGGCCACGAGCTGGTACTTGCTGAAGCTTGGTGATGAGAATGTGGGAGTTCACTGGCCTATTGTCTCTTTTTGTACATGTTGTGATTTTCCTTTATAAAAAGTTTTTTAAAGTCTGGACTCTTAACCACTGTACATCTGTGGCTCAAATTCAAATTTATTCGCCGTTTTGTGGAAAACATTGTAATTTTTGTTCAGACAGTTGTATAAAAATATTTTGACTAATAAAAAGACTCATTTAAAATTACTTTTTTGTTTTGTTTTTAAGTCTCACAGAAACCCACCTTTCTATAAACATTTGAAGTCTGGTGACTAGTGGCTACTTGGCAGGCTGTAACCCAGCAAACAGCCTTCAGATTATTGTTACCAACTAAGAGCTGGCTTTATTTCATATAATTAATAGCCCTTACATAGCAGTCATTACTGGGCTCAATAATCAATTTTTCAGAAATGACTGCTTTATCCTCTTCTGTAGATAGATATAGTAACATGATCAGTGTGAAAGTAAAGAGCCATGGCACAGGCTCAGGGCAGATCTTTTTCTTTAAGAAAAATGATAGTTCAGGAAATTGAGCTATGGCAAGTATATTGTGTGAGCTCTGAGTTCTGATGCAACCTTTAAGATGGATTTGTTTTTGGCATTTGAATTCTATTTAGTCCAAAGTCAGTTTAGCAAATGCTTCATTTTATTGAATTGTAAAGGAGATTACTCCAAATTGAAAAGTAAAAGATGAAATCACTAGCATTTTCCAATGTTGACATTTATCTATATTTAATTTTTATGAGTTTCCAACTATGGACATTTTAAAGAATTGTTAGGCCTTTTAATTTTACTCCTTAAGTCCATCATGTCAAACTTTTTTGAGAGTTATTCAACAAGTGTTTGTTGAGCACTTGGTTTGTCAAGGTGCAGAGCTGGCTCTGGAGGTGCTGCAGTGAACAGGAGGGGGTCAACTCATGCCCTTGGGGAGCTCGAAATAATGGGGGGCAGGGAATTAAACAACTACCAGGTTTTAAAAAAAATTGCATTTGTAGTAAGTAGCTCAAAGGAGAAATATAGTGGGTGAAAATATAAAGGCATAGAAACTGACTTACGTTTAAGTCATTTCAGACGTGTAACCCCCTCTTACGTAGGGGAGCCTCTGCCTTATTTCA